CTAGGGCTTTACTGATTCTTGGAAGATTTTATTTTACTTTATTATTATTTTAAAAAATATATCTTTATTGATTTCAGAGAGGAAGGGAGAGGGAGAGAGATAGAAACATCAATAATGAGAGAGAATCATTGATTGGCTGCCTCCTGCACACCCCTTACTGGGGATCGAGCCTGCCACCCAGGCTTGTGCCCCTGACCAGAATCGAACCACGAACCCTTCAGTCCACAGGCCGACGCTCTATCCACTGAGCAAAACTGGCCAGGGCTACTTTATTATTTTTTTAAAGACTCAAAAACAAATTTTATTTTTTCCCTTTTTATTGAATTTATTGGGTGATACTGATTAACAAAATTATATAGGTTTCAGGTGCAGAATTTTACAACACATAATCTGTACACTGCATTGTGTGTTCACCATCCCAAGCCAAGCCTCCGTACATTACCACTTATCTGTCTATACCAGCCGTGGGCAAACTACGGCCCGCGGGCCGGATCCCGCCCGTTTGAAATGAATAAAACTAAAAAAGAAAAAGACCGTACCCTTTTATGTAATGATGTTTACTTTGAATTTATATTAGTTCCATCCATGCTTTTGTTCCGGCCCTCCGGTCCAGTTTAAGAACCCATTGTGGCCCTCGAGTCAAAAAGTTTGCCCACCCCTGGTCTATACCCTCCTCCACCTTGCTTAATGCCCCTTCCCCCGGCAATCATCACACTGTTGCCTGTGTCCATAAGTTTTTAAACGATGGCACTGTTGATAAATTCCAGTGATGAATGAGGAATGAGCCATGGCTGTCTACAGGGTTTAAAACATAGTTAAATAAATTAAACTAGGGATATGATATACAGGGTGGGGCAAAAGCAGGTTTACAGTTGTGAGTAGGCAAAACACAGAGTTTATTGTATCCTTATTTGTTAATGATTGTATTATTTTCCATACGAACATAATGTAAACTTACTTTCACCCCACCCTGTATTGGGAAATGAACAGTAAGGGGAAGAGTGGTAATTTGGATTTATTAACTGTGATTTTTAAAAATTGAGTTTTGGGGTGAGAGTTTTATTTAATAGATAAAGAGATAAAGCACAGAGATGAGCAGCATAAACTAAATGAAAGAATACTTTCAGAACAATGCCTTAATTGTCATAACAAAAGTACACATTCACACACACACACACACACACACACACACACACACACAATGATAGCTATCTAAATGTCTGTATCTAGCTGTATGTTTGGTCATTTGTTAGTTCAGTTAGAATCCTATATGAAATATGATGCTTAATTATATGCATAGATATGGAACAACATTAATTAAGATTTTGTACCTATTGAGCAATGCTAAATTGATGAAATTCTACACCTGGAAATTCTGATGACACTTTTCTCATAGCCAATATGTAATGCTAGTGAATGAATAACCTGGATATCCAATCCCTACCTCCTAGCTCTTGGTTGCTTTCTCTCTCATGCCTTCTTGTTCATTCCCTCACATATACACATGGACAGACACACTATTATTATGAAACTCAGTTTAAACAACACTTTAAAGTGTTCCACTGTGTAACCTTAGCTGGTTTGGCTAATGGATAGAGCATCAGCCTGCGGACTGAAGGGGTCCCAGGTTTGATTCTGGTCAAGAGCACATGCCTGGGTTGCTGGCTCGATCCCCAGTGGGAGGCGTGCAGGAGGCAGCTGATCAATGATTCTCTCTCATCATTGATGTTTCTATCTCTCTCTCCCTCTCTGAAATCAATAAAAATATATCTATAATAATAAAAGCATAATATGTTAATTAGACTGGACATCCTTCCAGACAAAGCTGGGGCTGCCAGAGGGAAGCCTGGGTCCTGGGTGCCAGAAGGAAGCCGGTGCCGGCAGCCAGGGGAAGGAAGGCCCTCTTTTGCACGAATTTCGTGCATTGGGCCTCTAATACATGTATAAAAATAAAGTGTTCCACTGTGTAAACTACTGTGCTAGGCACTGTCGAGGGAAAGAAAAGCACAGATTAAATACGCAATTCCTAAACTTCTTTCTATTTTCTGAGTCTGGCTCTGAAAGTGAGTTTGGATCTTAGCTCTGGCACATTCTGACTTCACTGCCTTGGTAAGTTCCTTATTTCTCTGTACTTTAGTTTTGTAAAAAAAATCGTGAACTGGCCTGGCCAGTGTGACTCAGAGGTTGAGTATTGACCTATAAACTCGGAGGTCACGATTCAATTCCCGGTGACGGCACATACCCGGGCTGTGGGCTTGATCCCCAGCATGGGGCATGCAGGAGGCAGCCGATCAATGATTCTTCCTCATCATTGATGTTTCTATCTCTCCCTCTCCCTTCCTCTCTGAAATCAATAAAAATATATTTTCAAAAAATCTGTGAACTGGAAATAATACCTAACTTTATGGGGTTAGTAAGATGATTCAATGCGATAGTATGGGTAAAATATTTTGCACAATGTAAACTATTATTGTTGTCATTAGAATTATATTATTTTGAGGATTTTATATTCTAGAAGAGAACATAGACTTAAACATAGGTAAATCTAATAGAAACAATTAACAACGTAACAAAGGCAACCCATAAATTTAGCCTGGGGAATAAAGTAATAAACCAAGCAGAGTTGATCATTTTTCCAGGTTCTATGAATACTATCCCCTTTTGCCACTAAATAAATAATGATGTCTTCAAAACACGTTAGATGCCACGCAGAATTATATATGGGAAAGTGGTCTTTAAATCCAGCAAGTTGGCCAGCTCAGCAGAGGGAACTCAAGAACAGAATGAGAAAATGGAATGAACAGTCTTAAAAAGCTGTCCTCTATTTCTGAAATTTTGATTCCATGGTCAAGATACTTGATGGAGTTTCCAGAGGTATAAAAAAAGACAATTCAGAAAAACAGCATTTTCAAATAGTAGTTCCCTCCCTCTCTTTCTTCCTGATTTTTCTCAATTGTCTTTTGAAAAACTGGCCTTGAAAGAGAATGAACATTCACCTCATGAAGAAAGGAGTTATTTTGAATAAGTTGGGTCATTGAGGGAGGAATTCTATTAAATAAAGTCCTCGGGGAAGTGAATTATTGTTGATTCAGTTTGTGATATTAAGTTGGGGTGTCCTTCTTCCATTACATATTATAAGGAAATTAAAGAGAAAAGGATAGGAAATGAATGCCTTAAAAATATGAGGATAAAGAGGACTAAGTATTGTATATTAATTATGGTGAGGGTGGGAGGATAAGGATGTAAATAAGAAAATAACCCTGATGTTTGAAATTTACTAAAATTAATCTTTAAAAATATTGGCTAATGTCAACTAATCTGTTACTTTTAACTAAGGAGCTAACTTCTATAAGAAGCTCCTTGTACACATTTTTCTTTTTTTATTAGTTCATTCTTTCATTCATCAAAAATGTATTATGTATTGCATACCAGCTGTGAGGAAGGCAGACATGATCCCAACCTTGATGAAGGTTAAATGTTAGTCACAAGAAGGGCCAGAGATAGCCCTCGCTGGCTTGGCTCAGTGGATAGAACATTGGCCCGTGACTGAAGGGTTGCAGGTTTGATTCCAGTCAAGGGAACGTACCTTGGTTGCAGGTGCATGTGGGAGGCAACCAATTGATGTGTCTCTCTCACAACGATGTTGATGTTTCTCTGTATCACCCCCTCCCTTCCACTCTCTCTAAAAAAACAAAACAAAACAAAAAAACAATGGAAAAATATCCTCAGGTGAGGATTAACCAAAAAAAAAGAAAAAAGAAAAAAAACGGCCAGAGATAAAAGAAAAGAAAAAAAAAGAGGCTTCTGGATAACCCACAGTGAAAATCCATTCATTGAATGAGTAAAACCTACTGTACAGTCCAGTGATCTAAGCCTCCCCAGCAAACCCCTCCATATCAATGTAGGTACATTCAGCTGATTTATGTATTAAAACAATAGCATTTGTTAAAAATATAATGCTACCAAAAATAAATATAAACTAAAGGGGAGAAATTTGAATATTATCCTGTTGGGGAAAAAAGAGATTGATGTAATGTCATTTGATTGTGATGGAACATTCTTTCCACCTCCCAAAGTGGATTGTGTGGTGCATCAACAATTTAAATTACTCCCCAAATGGGACCCTGACTTTCAGGATTTATAAAAAGCAAGTATTTTAAAAAGAGGTCATTGCCTAAACAACTCCTTTAATCAGAAATCAGAGGATTTACTCCACGGATGGTGCCAAGCTTTCTTCACGAAGACTACCATGGTGCTTCACTTCCTTAGTCCCCATCACTCAAAAGGGGAAGAGGATCAAATTAATTTTTAAATGCAGAGTTTTGGTTTATACTGTTCTTTTTCATCTTCTGGAAATTGATTACAAGACTTAATCAAGATTCCTCTGTGTATCATTAGCCAATTTAGCTTCCTCGTTTTTAATTTAATCTCCCCCCCCCCCCAGGGAGTTTGGGAGAGCATGGTTCTAAGTCTATGGTGGATTTCATGCTTTTCTGTTCAAGCCTTGAGGGAAGCTAAATTTAAAAGTAGGAAAATAGTAATTAAAAGTGATGAGGACAAAAAGCTTTGGTGCTATGAAATGTGGACTCCCTGACCCAAACCGAACCAAGCAGCAGTTTTTGGTTTGGATTATAGCTTTTCTTCCTATTTTAATAAACATGAACCAGTATTCAAACTTTTAATATCCTGCTGCTTAACTATTTCCAAAGAGCCATCCAGCTCTCTTAAACGGCCTTTGTTTTAAAATTTTAATTTGTTTGGCCCAGTCTCACCTTAGAATGCCGTAGCCTCATGGTAAACTCTTTTATAAGTTGATTTCCAGAATCACAAGCAATTCTTCTATTTCCCCCTCCCAACTAAGTGCTTCCTCATGTGCCAAAATTGTTGGTGCTGACAGCTTTCCTGCCTTGTTTTATCTGGTTCCCACAGTAAGTCTGAGAGACAAACACAAGAATGTGTCCAGCGTTGACTGGACGCACCGTGGCCACAGCGATACTTACAGCTCCTCTAGGAAGCGGAGACTGTGCAGAGGACTCGGGGGTAGCTGACTGATGTTGTTCATGCTGAGGTCTCTGGAGAGGAAAACAGACAGCGTGTGAGGAGCAGCGTCTGCCACCGCAAGGGAATCCAGCTGTTCAGTTCGCACATCTTTAAGCAGTAGAGCCAAATGAACTCATTCTTTTGCTTGACAAATACAACGCGATTGTGCACCTTAAACATATTCCTATCCTACCCCTCCCCACCCCCCATCACCAGGGGCTCTCTATCAAGTTAGAGACCCTAGGAGGAGCTTATACGGATTCAAAACGATTTAGACCATTCATGGGCATGGTTGTAATTCTTCAGGTTTAAGACTACGTGATTAGGACGGCAAGGAAAGGCATAACTCAGTGCTAGACATAACTCAACGCCGTGTCTTGCTTTACACTTTGTGACAAAGAGAAATGTCTTCACCATGCAACGCTGGAAGTCCTGCCTCTCCGGGGCTATAAGCACCTTGTAAAAACAAATGTTTTGATTCAAAGAAACTTAAAAAAACAAAACAAAACCAAACAAGACAAAAAGCCTATTCCCTCCTTCTAACATGTTCCTTTTACAGGTTCTCGGATTGCATTAAATAAGTGAAATGAACCATAAAACAAGGGTGTAATGCGATCCTGCTCTGTAGCACACTTCCTGCTGGGCCTGCACAGTAGTTCCTGGCACAGGAAACAACAAGCCACTTTGGGCAGAACTCAATCAATTTTTGTTTTAAGAGAAACTCCATGTAATTAGATTTTATTCTGTTTTATTTTTCTGGTTAAAACTTTTTTTTTTTTTTTACTGTGTCCCACATAATCCTACAGCATCACTGGTATATGCCATCTGTATCTCAGCTCCCCAAAGACGGCTAGACAGATTCTAATCAAGACCAACTAAGACTTTATGTAACCGTCAGCTGAAGGTTGACTTAAGAAAACACTCGTTGCTCACACCCGAAGATTCCGATCTAATGTCATTGAAATCTCAGACCAGATCTACATGCTTAAAGTTTATCTTGCGATGCACAATGAGCTTCATATTTATTATTTCCATATTGATGTAATCGGCATAGAACACTGTATTAGGCATACAACATAATTTGATATATGTACATATTGTGAAGTGAGTACCACAAAAAGTTAGGTTAGCATCCATCATCATTCATATTGACAAAACTTGTTTTCTCGTGACGAGACCTTGTAAGATTTATCTCATAGCAACTTTCGAATCCACAATACAGTATTGTTAATAAGAGTCACTCTGCTGTACATTACATTCCCAGGAATTATTTATCTTATAACTGGAAGTTTATGTCTTTTGCCAACCATCACCCATTTCACCCATTCGCTTTATTGAAAAAAAATCTGGATTTTTCTGTTATTGAAGGGGCCACATCCATTGCACACAACCAGCTGATTTCATTGAGGCTCAGAACTGAGGAATCATTCACTTTCTGACTTTAAAAAGTCACTAGTGGGAGCACTTTCGATCTTGCTTCCCAGCAACTGTCCTCAGATTTGGGCCTAATGAACTCTTATAAAAATAAAAGTCACCAGTGTGTACAAGGAAGATAAAATACTCTGCTAAATGTTTTAGACTAGAGTGCGGTAAAAAAGCAGAATTGTTAATTTTAATGTTGGTGAACAATAATGTAGCTGAGTTAAATGCGATGTTCTCAAGCTAAAACTAAACCATGCCAAAAATCTGCATTTTTCTGGCATTATCTAGAGAGCCAAATAACTGATTAGCATTTTCAGGGTTTTTTTGTGTGCAGATATTTCTCTGAAGTAGTAAAGTTGTTTAGTTTCCTGAACAGACATGGATTCAATGAATTGATGCAGTTTCTGGATTCCTCACAGTGACTATGGGATCTCTTCAAAGACTTGCTATTTCTCAGGGATATTCACTTGTTTGCTAACTGCTATCCCACTTACTTCCTGAAGAGGATCCAGGTGGTTTGCTTGTGGAGCATGTTGATTGGCCACCTAGATTGAACCAGTCTCAGCATCACGACAGCTGGTGTGGAGAGTGTTGACTTTCCTCTCCCCTGAAATATTCCTGAGTAATGTGCAAATCAGTCTGGGACAAGCATTAATCTTGTCTACGTGCAGAAAGCTCTAAGCAGAACAAGGAAATTTACACATTAAGGAGATTCATAAGCACTCCGCATTATTTATCACCGGATTTTAGGTACCTGGAAGGGAAGCTTATATAAGCCTTCGCTCTCAGGGTTCCTACTAGAGCACGCTGAGGGTGGAGCAGCAGAAGGGTGCAGGCGTTGTCAGGGTAGAGTGTCAGGTTCAGTGTCTCGGGTTTGAATTCAGACCTCTCCGTTCACTAGCTGTATGATCTTGGAAAATTAACCTCCCTGTGCAGGCTTCCTCATATTTAAAAAAGGTGTCTCTACATTAATAGTTTGAAACCCTATGATTAGCTGTTTCCAATGAGAAGAGAGTGACTTAATTTTCTTCTTAAAAGGGAGAGTACCTCCCTTTCCAACAGGAATTAAGAACTTCTCTGTGTTACCTGACATGTGGTTCCTCTTAGAAAATGAGCTAGTATTGCTAAACCAAAACCTTATCACCTGTTTTTGATAAGGTTTCAAATAAAAGAGTTTGATAAGGTTTTTGATAAAAGAGTTTCCAGCAATGCCTAAAGCAGAAATAATTTTTTAAAATGACAATCTAATATAAAATGAAACAGGCCTTTAAAATATAAATTCAGAGTGGGTAAGGTAAAATGTAATTTGTTTTTATTCACTTTTTCCTTCTCTGTGAGTAAAAGACCAAGTTTTTAAAATTTCTAACTTGCTGTGGACTTATATTGTTATAAAATATAATAAAAATTAATTATAAAAAAGTAAAATAAAAACACAAAGATATACAAAATAGAAGCCTCAATATTTTGTTACGTAATTCAATAGAGATTATTTAATTACTATAAAAGTTCCTAAACCTTTACTCTCAAATTCTTTTTTTAAAAATATTTTTTTATTGATTTCAGAGAGAAAGGGAGAGGGAGAAAGAGATAGAAACATCAATGATGAGAGAGAATCATTGATTGGCTGCCTCCTGCACACTCCACACAGGGGATCGAGCCCACAAATCAGGCATGTGCCCTTGACAGGAATCGAACCTGGGACCCTTCAGTCCACAGGCCGATGTGCTATCCAAATTCTTACCGGTTGTGAATCAGTAAAAACACAGCCATGGCCTGGCTGGTGTGACTCAGTGGTTGAGTGCCGACCTATGAACTAGATCACAGTTCGATTCCTGGTTAGGGCACATGCCGGGTTGCCGGCTCGATCCCCTTTAAGTGGAGAATGAATCCAAGTCATCTTCAACTTTTCCTTTGTCCACTGTCCCTATGTCCATAAGGCACCCAGTGTTACTTCTACTACGGATCTTGCTTCTGGGTCTGGCCTCTCTTTCTTCTTGATAACTGCTCACTGTGTGTCTTTATGCTAGGTCACCTCCTATACCACGGCCAGAGAGGTCGCCCTGAAAAGTTCATCTGATGGTCACTCCACTCAAACCCACTGTTAGCCAATAGCACAGACATCCCCTTAGGTGAGTGATTTGGAAAAGGGCTCCTCCTCTGCAGGTGTCCTAGTCTGTACATTACAGAAAAGATCGTTCTCCCACTGAAGGAGCCACAGAGTGGGGTGAATGCCTTGGCAAGCAGGGCTTGGCCTGGAGCTCCGCCCCCATGGAGGAGCCCTGCTCAGCTGTAGCCATATGGGACGCCCCTGTCTGAGAATTTTCGCTGGCTCCAGGCCTCTTCGAGGAACTAGTGCCCACATTTTTTAGGCTTTACACCATCTGGCCTAATATTTGTTTCCACCTTGATTTGATGCCACTTGTCTCTGCACGATGTGTGCTCTGGTTACACTGAAACTCTTGCTGTTCCTCTGTGTATGTCTCTGTCTTCACACATCTGATTCTCTTTTTCCAGAATACAGGAGTCCCTGTATTTCCAAATTACCACTCCAGTGCTCTCTCGCTTCCCTCCCCCGATTTAAAATCTAGCTTAACAGACCCTGTGTTTCTGACACAACCTCTTATCTTTCTGGTTTAGTTGTTCTCTATTTTAACTTCTAGTCCTTTGATATTTCCAGTATCAAAGCCTTGTTTTAGCCTAAGAGCCGAGCTTAGATCGTGCATTGATCGCCCGGATCAGTATCTCACTAACATACTCAACTCCCGAGTCCCTGTCTTCTGTTTCACTCTCCTGGCAAAACCCCAGCTCTGGAAAAACACCATAATTCTTCCTCTCTGTTACTATCCCAGGGCACTGAGTGATACTAGAGAATAAAAACTCACAAATGTGCAGATTAGTGACTATAAATTCATGGTCTTTGTGGGTTCTCAACACTGCTGCACAATCCTGTTATTTGTTATTGCTTAGTTTACTCCCACAGGGACTGTTGCCAACCTTTACCACTTGCCTCAAACCTCTTAATCAACAACCATCCCCATTATGGGATACCTTCCCTGTACTTTATGGAAATAAATGGAATTCTTTAGACCACCAAACATGTTATTGGCCAAATCCTTGTTCTCTTTTATCACCTGCTTACTATACCCATTCTTTTCTCCTGGGTCAGTCTTGCTCCTGAATCCCATTCCCTTTCTGATGCTACAGCACATCACTCCATGAATAATTCCTTTGATTTCCTATAGTTTTTATCCTCTTCTCCTTCCTATTCACTGTGTAGATATAGTTAAGTCTTTTCCATGACTGAAACAAAAGGAAAACAGGATCTTTCAATCCCATGTCTTCCTCTACCTGTTACTCAATCTTTCTCATTCCCTTTGGGGTTGTTTCTGGTCTACAATTATACTCTCCACTTCCCATTTCCTTTCTGACCATAACACATAAACTTCCATCCCTACACTCCAATAAAACTGCTCTTGCCGAAGAAACAGTGACCTCCATACTGTCAAATCTGATGAACACATGACTTACTGGGCCTCTCTCTTGCATTAGATGTGCTCTTTCTGGAAATTACGCTCTCTTGTTTCCAAGTCATCATTCTCTCAGGACTCTTTTCATACTTTCCCAATCTTTCCACTTTATAGAGTCCTTTGTGGAATTTTCTTGTATCTACTCCTTACATGCCAGTGTTCTCTGGAGTTGTGCCCTTGGCCTAGAGCTCTTCAATCTCTACCCTCTTTCTTGGAGGCTATTACTTACTCTCAGGGGTTTAAGTATCACTTAAAAACCCATAACCTTCCAAATCCATATTCCTAGTCTTAATCTCTCTCCTACGTTTCAGAATCATACAACTCACTTTTGGATGTGTCCACTTAGCAATCTTATAGGAATGCACCATGTCAAAAATGGGAAAAAAACATTTTTTTTTCTATTCCAAACTTGTTTGTTCTTCTTAGAGCTAGATTTTAGTTAATGCCACAACTGTCTTCCAGTTTAAAAAGCCCAATTCTTGGATACTCTCCAAGCCTTCTTCCCTTTTTTTCATCAGCTCTGCCTATTCCTTTTTCTCTCTCCTTACTCTGCCCTGTTGCAGGCCCTGCCCCTTCTGACCCAGGCACCTGAAATTGCCTTCCAATTCTGTGGCTGGCTGCTACCAGCCTTATCCCTTTAGACCAGCGGTTCTCAACCTGTGGGTCGCGACCCCTTTGGCGGTCGAACGACCCTTTCACAGAGGTCGCCTAAGACCATCCTGCAGATCAGATATTTACATTACGATTCATAACAGTAGCAACATTACAGTTATGAAGTAGCAACGAAAATAATTTTATGGTTGGGTCACAACATGAGGAACTGTATTTAAAGGGCCAGAAGGTTGAGAACCACTGCTTTAGACCCACCTTCCAAATGGCAGTGAGAATGATCTATAAAAAAAATTCAGAATTAGACAAATCACCATCTTACTTAAAACCTTTCCAAATGAAATCCACATTTGTTAGTATTACACACAAGCTCCATTGTATAGCACACAGCCTTTCACCACTCTGGCACACGGATTCTGATTCATCCTTCAAGACCTGTGGTAGGGTGTCATCTCCTCCAGGAAACCTTCTCTGACCTCTAAGGTTAGTGTAAGTGATTTGCTCTCTGTCCTCCTGCTTCATTGCACACAGTAGGCTGTATTCAGGATCAATGGCCTTTTTTTTTAGTTCAATCACAGTACTTGTAGTGTTTAGCCAAGCCTGGCCATGTAGAAGATATTCAGTGAACGTTGAACTGAATCCTCTTCTACTTCTTCCTGTGAGTGAGCAAATGATCTTACCCATTAAAAAAAATTACATATATATGTAATATATAACATATATATTTATAATATATATATATATATATTTCAGAGAGAAAGGGAGAGGGAACGAAAGATAGAATCATCAATGATAAGAGAGTCATTGATTGGCCAAAACCGGTTTGGCTCAGTGGATAGGGCGTGGATAGGGGTTCGATTCCGGTCAAGGGCATGTACCTGGGTTGCGGGCACATCCCCAGTGGGAGATGTGCAGGAGGCAGCTGATCAATGTTTTTCTCTCATCGATGTTTCTAACTCTCTATCCCTCTCCCTTCCTCTCTGTAAAAAATCAATAAAATATATTTAAAAGAAAAAAAAAGAGAGAGTCATTGATTGGCTGCCTTCTGCATGCCCCCTACTGGGGATCAACGCCTACAACCCGGGCATGTACCCTAACTGGGAATCAAACTGTGACCTCCTGGTTCATAGGTTGATGCTCAACCACTGAGCCACACCGGGTAGGCCAATCTTACCCATTTTTTAAAAAAAATTCCATGTTTCTCATCATATGGCTACACTGCTCCTAAGTGTAAAGTATATAACCCTTCTGATATAAAACACTTTTGGAAACAAAATCCACTTTGTGTTGCATCTACCTTCCACAATGGTTTTTGCTCATAATTACAATTATGTTTTCTCTTTTGAGTCAATCATACTTGCTTTCTGTCCCAGGAATTCCTCAAAAATTCTCATTCCCCTTCTGCCCCCATGCTCAAGCACTGCTATGCTGCTGCTACTGCTCTTCCCCGCTCCTCCCTCTATTCTTCCCCTTTCTCTTCCTCCTCCTCCTTCTTTTGCTTTCTCCTCCTCTTTCCTTCTATGTTTCCTTTTCTCCTCCTTCTCCTGCTAAAATATCTTTCCTATCATTACTATGGATTTGTTGTGGGAAGGATAACTGCAGTAGGTACTTAGTCTGCCATCTTAAAATCCAGCCACACTGTCGATATTTGAGACTTGGTACACAAATCAGTGAACAAAGAGGCTGTTTCTTATAGTGTGACTATTAAACAAATTAAGAAAACAACAACAAAAAATGATTCTTTAGTCTCTGCCCCACTTGAAGACAAATATTTTCTTCTTTAGCAGCATGGTGCAATTCCTATTTCTTCTAAGTACAACCATTTAAAACTTGTCTTGGGAGATCCAGTAGCTTTTAGCTTTCTGCCAGAAACCTTTGTTAACAATGGATCCAGGCTGGAGCTGTTCCAGCACTTTTTAATTGATCACTTTTCAAATATGCCTCTGAAGATAAGCCATGAACTTCAAAAGGAAAGGTGCAGGCTTGCATAGCATTTTATGATAATATGAATAATGTTATTTCCAGGTGCTTTTTTCATGTTATTGTTCTTTTTTTTCATCCTCACCCTGAGGAGTGAGGATATTTTTTCCATTGATTTTTTTTTTTTTTTTGAGAGTGGAAGGCAGAGGGAAGGGGAAGAGAGAAAGAAACATTCATGTGAGAGAAACACATTGATTGGTTCCCTTCCACATGCATCCCGACCTACCTGGGGCAGGGATCGAACCTACAACCCAGGTAAAGCCCCCTACCGGGAATTGAACCCAAGACTCTCTGGTGTGCAGGCCGATGCTCTAACCACTGAGCCACCGGCCAGAGCTATGTTATTGCTTTTAACTCTAAAATGACGTACCTTTGAAAATGACTTTTTACTGAAGTAAAGCATATATGGGAAAATGAATAAATCTTAAGTGTCCAACCTAATGGGTTTTCAGTGTGCACACACCCTGGTACTTGAGAAACAGAACAGTGCCATCTCCTCACAAGTTCCCTCATGTTCCCAAGGAGCTAGTCTGCTCACTTTTACTAGTAATATTTTATATTAGGTTTTGCTTGGTTTTGATCTCTCTATAAATGGAATCATACAGTGCATAGTTGTGTGGTTTTTTTTTTTTTTAAGATTTTATTGTTAGGGCAGTTTTAGGTTCACAGGAAAATTGAGAGGCGACTACAGAGATTTCCCATATGCTCCCAAACCCACATGTGCACAGCCTCCCCCATTATCAACATGGCCTACCAGAATGGTACATTTGTTACAACTGATGAACCTATTGACACACACCACCCAAAGTCTGTAGTTTACATTAGCATTTACTCTTGGTGTTGTACATTCTATAGGTTTGGGCAAATGTATAATGACATGTATTCACTATAACAGTATCATACAGAGTATTTTCACTCTAAAACCCCTCTGTGCTCTGCCTACTCATCCCTCCCCTCTCCTACTACCACGCTTGGCAATCACTGAACTTTTTACTGCCTCCATAGTCTTGCCTTTTTCCAGAATCCCATATATTTGGAATCATACCACATGTAGCCTTTTTTGATTGTTTTGTTTCCTTTCACTTAGTAATACAGAACATAGTTGGGTTTTTTCTTGCTCATTATGTTTATGAGATTTTTACATGTGTGGTTCATAACAATAGTTTTTTTCTTTTCAATGCAATATAGTATCTCATTTTTATTATTATAACAACTGTTGGGTTGAATATTTGGGTTCTTTTTAGTTTGTGGCTATTATGAATAGGGCTGCTATAAACATTCTTACATATGTCTTTTATTGAACATATTATATGTGTTCATTTCTGTTGGGTATATATCTAGGAGTGGAATTATTGGGTCTTGATGTATATATGTTAAACTTTACTATTAGAATCCTGTCAAATAGTTCTCTAAAGTGGTTTGATTGATTCATACTTCTATCAGCATTGTAAGAGAATTCTAATTGTTTGACAGCAAATTGTTTCCTTTTGTTATTACCAAAATTGGTATTATTTTTCTTTTAAATTTTAGTCATTTGGGTTAAATTACCATGATGTCTCACTGTGGTTTTAATTTGCATTTCCCTTGTACCTAAGAGAGTTGCATATCTTTTCATACAACTTTTGTCCATCAGGATATGCATTTTTACAAAGTGTCAGAAGAATATTTTGTCTTATTTGATGAGCTTCCTATTAAAAGCAAAACTTACTTGTTAAAAGTGGAACTATACGTTGATATGTAAAGGACAAGCTAATAATCCTCTCATTCTTCTCATGTAATTATGCTTCCAGAGGTTTCAAAGTTATTCTTTAAAACAGCCGACAGTGTAATAGTTAAGAGTGTGAATTCTGGCACTGCTCAGCCTTAGTTTGAATCCTGGCTTTGTTATTTCTGAGCCGAACATTCAGCAAGTTACTTAACATCTCAGTGCCTCCGTTACCTAGCCTGTACAATGAAGATGATGATAATAATCCGTGTTGTAGAATCGTTATGCAAAATAATTGAGCTAATACTTATAAAGTACTTAGTATTTGGCATAGTAAAGGCACTACATGTTTTGCTATCATCATTATTATAATCAAAACTCTTAATGTTTTTACAAAAACATTACTTGAAACTGGTACCTGTACAGACATAACAAGAGTAGGGAAATGTTAGCCCATTGTTGCTTATGGTTATCTTGAAAAACCAAAATTAGAGGATAATTTAAAAAATGTTTAGAGATAGCTATCTTATGCTCTATTGGTCCCTTTGCTTTGTCAACAATTTTTAAATGGAAGCTTTAAAAGACAGAGTCTCAAAGCAAAGCTCATTTGAAAAAAATTACATTCTCATTCTCATCTCATAGATAGAAATTGTTCATGTGAGTGGGCATTCATCAGCCTTGTTTACAGCAAGAGAAGAGATAGAAGTAGTTATCTGTGGGGAGATCACTTACTTAAAAACCTTATGTGCTTAGAACACACCCCAAAATAGAGAAATAAGCAAGAAGACAACAAAACCAAACCAAACAAACAATAACTAAAGCAAACCAAACCCTTTTGGGACAGTCAGAATCAAAAGCCCATGAAGTTAATCATGGATGTTTATGCACTTTTCTCAAAGGAAAAGGTCCTGATCAGAAGTGAACTATTTTTTATTTAGGCAATCTTGGTGTGTTTTTTTGTTTTGTTTTGTTTTGAAATCCATAGCAACATGAAATCCATAGCAGTGGGAGGCAGACTCAACAAAGCTGGTAATGATGTGGGAATGCAGATGTAAGAATTGCAATAATAATAATAAATAACAATATCATCATAAAATGCACAGGTCTTTGATTCAGTGTCATTGTTATAGATATTTCAAAAGCTTTCAACCAATTTGGAATCAATTATCCTTCCAAGATAAAGGAGAACTTTATACATTCTAGTGGACTATCCAATAACCAAAAATCATCTGAAAGTTTAGGTATCTAGGAATACCATAAGGTTCTATCTCTTCTTCCTTTCTCTATTTTCTGTGAACAATTTCTAGCCTTGAACTTGTACCTGTGCAACAGATCTATATTTCTAACAGCTTTCTTTTATAACTTCTCCATGTGATTAATCAACCAGTTACCTACAATGTAACGCATTATAAACTGAACTCATTTTCGCTTTTCCCCAAACCAGCTTTGCTCTTTTGTCTTCTCATCTTGATTAACGCATTCTTTAAAGCAACCAGCTAGAAACTTAGAGTTTATTTATTTATGTTTTTACATTCTCTTACCATTCATCTTCACTCTCCTTTAAATGATCATTAGTCCTGTTGGTTATATCTCTGAAATGTTTCTGGAATAATAATAACTAACATTTATTTGTGTCAAATAATACTAAGATTTATCTGGAGGACACACACACACACACACACACACCAACAGAATCTAACGAATCTTCAGCTAACTACCCATTTTATAGATGAAGAAACAGAGGCACATAAAACTTTAGCTTTCCCAGGGTGACACTAGCAGTAAGTGGCAGAACCAGGGTCTGAACCAGGTCTGTCTGACTCCTAAGTTAATGGAATCAGCCACTTGCAGCTACACTGTATACTGGAATCCATGCTTTAATTTCCAGTTTTTGTGTCCATAGCTTAAATTTAGGCCTTAATATTTGCTTGACTGTTTTCACTCCTAAGAAGTATCATGCAGGTAGAGGGATGCCTCAGGGCAAGTCTCTCTACTTCTCTGCACCTGCTCACACCTTTGTGGCATCTCTGGCAGCTCTCACCTCTTGGCCAGTCCCTTCAAATGATCCTATTCAGACCACCTCTCTGGACCATCTATTCTACTTCCTTTGCCTTTGGACATCATCCTTTGGGTCCTGCTTAGCTCCATGGTCTACAGTCCCTGGTCTATCTCTCCTCTCACCCGGATTCCAGAATTCCAGTTGAAACCCCAGGCTTCCCACTTATCTCAGAGGGAAGATCAAGCCATTGCAATGAGTTCCTTTTTTTTTTTTTCCGCAATGAGTTCTTAATAGTCCTCTCTGCCTTCATTCTCCATTCTCTCCTCTTTCCCAGTCCCTCTCAAGTTATCTTATTATTTTTGCCTAAAGTATCAAAAAACTAATATTTTATATTGTGCTTCCTTTCTTTCATTTAACAATAATTCCTTTTTTTTGGTCTAGAACTTTAGAGTTTACAAAACACTTTATACCCAAAAATTCTTCCTAATTTGTCTTAGAAATGCAGAAATGTTGGAGCACAATTTACACTATATTTCCAAAAAGTTGCTTTGAAACCAATTAAATTTTTTTTCCTGTGTCCGATATTTGAACATGGATATTTGCAGAGTCCTAACTAAGACCATGCTATAATTCACAATATTATTGTTCACTTGAGTAACATATTCTGGTTTTCTTTATGCTTAAAAAAAACCCCAAACAACTAGCTTTGGAACTAGAATAGGGTTTCTTAACCTTGACCCTACTGGCATTTGGGGCTGGGTAATTCCTTGCTGTGGGGCTGTCCCGTGGATTGTAGGTGTTGAGCAGCATACCCGGCTTTCCCCACCAGGTGCCAGTAGCCCCTCTCCCCACCCTGTGACAATTAAGGACTTTTCTAGACTGTTATGGGCTGAACTGTATGTTGAAGTCTTAACCCTCAAGAACTCAGAATGTGATTATATTTGTAGACAAGGTCTTTAAAGGGGCAATTAAGTTAGAATGAGTTCATTAGAGTGGGCCCTTTTCTGATATGACTGGTACCCTTATATGAAGAGGAAATTTGTACACAGACAGGGACAGAGGGAAGACCATGTAAAGACACAGGAAGAAGGAACACTCTACAAACCTAAGACAGAGGCTTCAGGCAAAACCAACTATGCTGACACCTGGACCTTGGAAGGGTAGCCTCCAGGACTATGAGAAGTGCCTGTTATTTAAGCCACCCGTTCTGTGGTGCTTTGTTATGGCAAACTAATGCCCAGACATTGCCAAATAAATGTCCCGTAGGGTCAAATCGCCCCTGGTTGAGAATCACTGAGCTAGTACCCATGAATTACACATAGGAAACTATTAATTTTGCTTTTTGTGATGACAGAAAAAGTAAGTTTCCAATGTGTTCTTTTTCTTCAAAAGAGGGAATTAAGAAGGACCTTCACTCCACACTCCTCTTTCACACCATAAATACCTTTTAGCAGATAATTTCATTACCTTATTATTGGACAATGAAAATATAAAATAAAAGGCAGAGCTAAAGACTGTAAGATATAGTGCTTATACATTCCAGGGAGTGACTCTGGCACTGTGTCACTGAGTCTCTTAAATAATTCCAGGCCTGTGGCTGCGCTTAATGGCTCCACGATAATTACCCAGAAAAGACCTCCAAGGCAATATTTCAAAGAAAATCTTCCAAAAGATTTCATTAAAGGAACTAGATCTATTTTATTTCACTCAGGCAGAAATTCCCATTGTTTTCCCTGCCCTGTGCAATAAGCAAGATACTGAAATATCCTGCAGTCAACACGGTGTGACTATGGGACCTTTTCATGCCAGCAGGTTGAGATCTTTCTCTCCCATCCATGTTCCAGCTAATATCTGGAACTATTATTATTAAAAAAGATGAATCTGGTCCATCATCCTGCCCTGTCCCATGGGTTCTAAAAGCCATTGCTGGTTGCTCATCACCTGCAGAATGGAGCCTACATCTTGTAATCTAGCTGAGGGATGAGGAAAGGGAAATAGGTTATAGATTTGGAAAAGAGGCCAGGGTCTCAAATGACAGTTCAGTCACTACACTGCTGTTAGAATTTTTCACTATTATGCTTTTGTGGCCTGAACTTGCTAAGGCTGTACTGTCACACCTATTTCATGCTGCCATAGTGAGGATGAGATGAGATAATATAGGTGCATGCCCTTAACTCAGTGTCGGACACTGGAAAGGGCTTTACCAGTTGTCGGCTGAAGTTCCTATGCGTTTACCGCTCCCCAAACCTTTCCAAATAGTCTATCTTCCAGTCACAACCAACTGCCTTTGATTCTCCCAATGTGTCCTGAGGTTTTGCTTTTGAGATGGACACAGGACGTAGATTTCCAATGAACTTGGTGTTTAAGGGGAGGGATGTGGAGGAGCCTGTCCTGTGGCTTCCTGCTCCAGGCTTTGCTAGAGCCGTGCAGACTAGTGAAACTGCACGTCAAGTGCCTGGCACAGGGCCGCGGCCAGAGGAAGCAGTCATCATCTGCTCCTGGTCACATCTGCCTGCCCAGATCCCCCTCATTCCTCGTTCCTCAGGCTCTCCCACTTCCTGCTTCCACTCCTGGCCCCCTCCATCAGCGCTCCACATGGCAGCCAAACGTAGCTTTCCAAAACAGAATTAGATAATTCTCTAGCACTGCCTGAAATCCTCCAACAGATTCCTGTTTGCTCCTAGATTAAATCCAAATGCCTCGGTGTGGCTGACAGGCCCTGACTGATCAGGCTCCTGTTAACCCTCCATCCTCACCCTGACTCACTGTCCCCTCGCTCACAGGTGATACCCATGGCCATGCAGTTTCTCCTACACCCCAAGTGCTTTCCCTCCTCGGGCCTTTTCTGTGCACTGACCTATGACCTTGGCGGTCCACTGCATTTCACCCTCCCTTCCAAAGGCTGGCTCCTCTTTATTCTTTTTTTGTTGTTGTTCCTCACCTGAGGATATTTTTCCATTGAGTTTTTAGAGAGAGTGGAAGGGAGGAGGAAAGATAGAGAGAGATAAACATCGATGTGAGAGAGACACACTGGCTGCCTCCCCCATGTGCCCCGACCAGGGCCCGGGATTGACTCTGCAAGTGAGGTAATGCCCTTGACTGGAATCCAACCTGGGACGCTTCAGTCCTCAGGCCAAACACCCTAGCCACTGAGCCAAATTGTTTAGGTTCTGTATTATTAAATATAGCTTTTTCAGTAAGTTCTCTTGAATCCAGAATAGGTCTTTTCCCACCTTTCCTTGCTCTTCTTCCTACCCCCCCACTTCCCTCCACACTCCCCACCCCAACTTCCCACCACCATTCTTTTCATTTAGAACAGTCTGTGGCCACATTTTCAATTACTGTCCTATCTTCCTTTCTTTTTTTAAATTAAATATATTCTTATTGATTTTAGAGAAGAGAGAGGGAGAGAGAGATAGAAACATCAATGATGAGAGAGAATCATTGATTGGCTGCCTCCTGCATAACCCCTACTGGGAATGAAGCCCGCAACCTGGGCATGTGCCCTTGACTGGAATCAAACCTGGGACCGTTCAGTCCGTAGGCCGACGCTCTATCCACTGAGCCAAACCAGCTAGGGCCTGTCTTCCTTTCTTGAATGCCATGAGGGCAGGGGTGTGTGAAATCACTAACTCTCTGCACAGCATCTGGCACATGGTAGACAATCAATATATACTTCTGTTGAGTGACCTACCTGCTGAGTGAATGCTACATTATCCGACATTATTCCCTTCCTCTCTTATTTCTAGGAGGATTATTTTTACTAAGTATGTTTTTGTGGGCCTTGAAGGATAGTATACAAAGCAGATTAAAGAATACAGTGTCTTCCTTGTATTTCCTTTAGACAGTTGGCTAAAATGTACTTTAAAAAATACCTCTACTAGGAATGCTAATCTATCAAAAAGATAATAATGGATAGAAAAAAGAAAAGAGATCCCAATAAATCTCACTGATAATTTTTGAGTTAGTTTCTAGTTGAATATGGAAGATGTAGAAACATGATTGTATTTCAAAATTAAATAGAGAGGGCCTGAACTCTATTCCTATTTTGTTATTGAATAGTATGTGGTCTGCTTAGATACATAAATCAATTTTTCCCTCCCATTTAATGGAAGTATCTTTACTGTTCTTACCTCAGTGGTATGGGGAATGTGAATGCACTATTTATAAAGCATATTCTGAGGTCCTTTGAAGTGCCTACAATATACTTAATGAGCTCTTGTTATTTTTGCAATGCTTCTAAGCATTTTGAACTCAAAACATAGTAGTGAAAACAGAAATGTACTTATCTAAAAGAACAAAATGCTACAGATAGACCCTGACTTGAATTCAGTTACTCAAGAGTGTGATGTAAACATCCCTTTCTTTAAACTAAAATAATCCCATGAACACTGGCTGGCATTGGAAAGATGAGAGACGTAAAATTTCTCCATGTTGCAGTGACACTTTTCAGATATGCCATGAAAATAATTTTCCAGCTTAAAGTTTGTCCTCACTTCAGTCTGGAGCTGACAGACCAACTCTAAAGAGATACTATTCAATTTCAGATAAACTCTATCCCCATTCAATTTAACTAAGATTCCAGCAGAGGGAGCAGAGTCAACAATTACAGAGAGATTTTAAAAACTCGGACATTTCAACAGTGAAAAGACCAAATGCTGAAATGGTTTGAGAAATACATCATTTTAGCTACCAATAACATGGTTTACTATTTATCTTCCAAATTATTGCTGTCACCGAGGCATTTGCCTGCCTTTCCTTAACATCTGCTAAGAAACATTCATTAATATAATTATGAGTGCCTTGAGCCAATAAGCCACTGATGAACTTTTAAAAACAACCAGAGGAGTAATCATTCATTGTTATTGGTTAATGAGTTACAAAGCTTAAGGAAATGCAAAAAAGTATTCATTTAGTCATTTAGACCAAGTCTGACTACATGTAGAATCAGAAATTCGAAATGTCAGTGTAAGCTACATCAAATGTATAATTATTAACTGAGAAACGATGGAAGAGAAAAAGAAATGGGGAACCTCAGAAAGGGAAAGCTCATGCTGGTGTCTTTGCAATGAATCTTGTTAAGGAACTGAGTCGTGTGTGGGAACTCAACAAGTGCATGCTGATGATTAAGCTAAAAGAGTAACAAAGGCAAGGAGTTGGACCAGCCATGAGGAAGTGAGTTTACAAATCTTACTACAAATTAAACAGCAAGAAGTGAAGCTCTGACATTCATGGAAACTTCCTTTAGTCGTCACATTGCCAATTCCAGCTGCCCTGGAGTTGGGCATTCATAGCTGATGTGACTATATGTGGCAGTCCTACTTGCTGTGTCCCTAGCAGTTTAGTGTCATGAAAGGAGGCCATTATTACAAAAAAATTCCCATGAGATCTAGTTGAATTAATTGTCAGTGATAAGGATTTTATCCACTAATACAATAGTGGGTAGTTTTTAATGTGTTTTCATGAATATGAAACTTACTCTTTTTAAAAAATATATATATTTTAATTGATTTCAGAGAGGAAAAGAGACAGAGAGAGACAGAAACATCAATGATGAGAGAGAATCATTGATCGGCTGCCTCCTGCACGCTCCCTACTGGGGATCGAGGCTGCAACCTGGGCATGTGCTCTTGATTGGAATCAAACCCAAGACCCTTCAGTCTGCAGGCTGATGCTCTACCCACTCAGCAAAAACAACTAGGGCATTCTTTTATTTTACTTTTTAAAATTAAAATTTAAGTCAAAATGATTACATATGTATATATTTATATTTGTACTTATATACATAATATATTATCTGTTATATACATTATATATACATATATAGTTTAAATAACTATCCTATATAATAAAAGGCTAATATGCACATCCACCAAATGGTGGAATGACCAGTCGCTATGATGCGCACTGACCACGAGGGGCAGACACTCAATGTAGGAGCTGCCCCTTGTTGGTCAGTGTGCTCCCACAGGGAGAGCACCACTCAGCCAGAAGCCAGGCTCACAGCTGGAGAGCGCAGTGGCGGTGGTGGGATCCTCTCTGCCTCTGCTGCAGTGCTAAGGATTTCCGACTGCTGGCTCCTGGTTTGCAAGAGGGTGCAGGCCGGGCTGAGGGACCCCCTCCCTGAGTGCATGAATTTCTTGCACTGAGCCTCTAGTCTCTAGATATAAAACCCTAATGTGCAAATAGACTGAACAGTGAAACAACTGAACAACCAGTTACTATGATGTGTGCTGACCACCAGGGGCATATGTGGAACATCTCAGGTGTCAGCAGCAGGCAGCAGAGTGTGAAACATGTGGGCATCGGCTGGCTGCGGTGGGATGGTGGAGCAGGTGAGTGGGGGCACCAGACCAAGGCAGGGCACCAGTCACTCTCATCAGGGCGAGCCTCTGGTGGTTACTGAAAATTCTTTGCTCCTGCATGCCATGGTCCTGCCCAACGCTCACACCCACTGCTGGCACCCGGTGCTGGTCCTGATGGCTTGGCACCTTCAGTGGGTGTGAGCGGGGTTTGCTGGCCCTGATCTCCCCTGAGGGTTTCTCCACCTCCCCCTGCTTTTGACTGCGCCAGCCCCTCTTGCACCCACTGCTGGTGTTGATCCCAATTGCTGCAGACATGGGACCAGGGCGGTGGCAGGAGGGACTGGGCAGGGGCATGGAGAATGGGCTGAGACCCGCCCCTGTGCTCACCACAGCCTTGAGGCCCACACAGTTCCTTTCAAGGTGCACAAATTCATGCACTGGGCCCCTAGTAAACTTTATAATTAAAAAAATTAATACAAAATCAAAACAGTCTCCAAGCCCTTATTCGCTTCCATCTCTGACTTCTACTTCTCAGAGGCAATGATTTGCACCTCTCTCAGGGGTCACTTTCTTTAGACTGTAACTTTGTAGTCTTTTGGATGGTGAGGTGACAGTTGTCTGGCTGTATAAGCTAAGGGAAATGTTTAACTGCTTATTATTATACTTTCAATGACTCTTCTTATTTTCAACAATACTTGGGCCTTCAAAAGTACCCCTTTCTAGGGTGTTACATAGCAATTGGCTTGCTTCTGCACTTACTCCATGCAATTTCTCTGCTAAGTCATTTCACAAATTTGTTAACACATCCTATCTATTAAAATTGTCTCTCCTATTCTCCGTCTTTGTATTTTTTCTGCTTTTTAAATTACTTTTCTGCCACTTGAGATAATCACGTGTTTAATCTGATACATGTTTCTGATATTTTTCTTAAGCTGAAACCACAATACTAATTATTCAAATATCTACTTGTTTTAGGTTTAATGTTTTGTTTTTCCAATCCATACCAGCCTGATTAAAAATAGCAAATGATTTGTTTACATGGCATAGTTCCCAGTCACACTGAGGAACTATAGTCCCCAATTAATTTCCTTCCCAAATTATTCTGGAAGTTCTAGCCTTGGCTTGGATGATTCATCTGTATGCCAAGAACTAGATTTTTTGACCACAGATGGTATCTGCTGTTGACCTCTTTCTACTGTTGACTTGCTGTGGTGACGTGTTAAATGCTATCAATGATCAGTCAGTGATGCCCCAGGTGCTCAACCCAGGCATTTTCCATCTGAGACTAAAAAGTATCCAGTGCTCCATTGGTACCACCATCACCAATTCCTCCACCATTTCCAATACCAACTGCTCTGGACCCCAGTGTTGCAGTTGGTCACTTTAGATACTTCTTAGGAGGGTTCTGGTTCCTCCATGTAAATAAACCCTTCCTCAGTCATGCTTGAATCCCAGAGTAGAGTCAGCCTGGGTACCAGATACCCAGAGTGGTCCCACTTACATGTCTGTATGTCTCCAAAGAACATGTCTTTAAATACTGCATATACAGAAAGATGTCAACACATTTCCATTTGTGGAGGAGGACATCTTGAAGGAGATGAGATTTCAGTAGCTCTTTTTAGTGTCAAAAGAATAGTAAGGAAAGGTGGGTGTTCAGAGGGAGTGGTTGGGAGTTCCAGCTGGTGGGCTTGGGTAATTTTGCTGCCCACCTACTGATCTGGCTAGTGACAGTGTCTTATTATTTCCTCATTAAAATGTCAATCTCATCTGACCTGGTGCTCAAAGAGAACAACTTTCCTAAGTAGAACAACACTGTTTCAATCACAGACATGGTGATGATTTTTCTATCCTATTAGCACCTCCAAGCGAACTCTCCAGATCCCAAGGTGGGAATAAAATGACCAAAGAGGAAATGAAATGTACAGAATAAAAGTCTTCATTTTCTAACTAAGATAAAAATGGTAAGCATTTCTCAGTCCTATGAGATCTAATATCAGGCCAATCTTCCCATAAAATCCTTACCAGATCTTAGCTGGTTGGGAATTAATCTCTTCCTCCACCAAACTTTCAAAGAACTCTCTTTTTACTTATATTAAATAGTCAGTCACAACGTTTCTACTATCACGGTGTTCTGAGAGCTGTCTACCACTTAAACTAAACCTTAGAGAGATGTGTTGGCTCAGGTAAAGGAAGGGTGAAAGAGGGAAGAGCATTTCTGGTAGGAGAACAGCATGCATAAAAGCATCAGGGCATAAGAGAGCAGGCTGTTCTCCAGAAACTACAAATAGGTTGGCATAGTTGAATGGGAATTGCTTGTGTTGCAACCAACCCAACACAAGGCCGGAAACGCATCTAGGGCCAGAACCAGACCAAGCTGGCCGCGTATGTGATGTTGAGAAGCTCAGACTACCCTGGAGGC